ACACCTTCCACAGTGAATGCATGTATAGAGATGCGTGACTTTTTCGATTTGATTAGACGAGTGTCGTCGGGATTTTGTTCGAGAATGCAAGAATGTTTAGATCTGTAGCTCTGTTTGCACTGCGCATGTCATCTGCCTTATGATGCACGACATCAGCAGCCGAGCCACGAGGCGGCCAGGGACCAACGTTGTGTTGAACTGATCGGACCCGTAGCCATACTGATCTGTGATTGCTTTCTCTCTCTTGTGTCAAAAAGATTGATTGGGGGACGCGCGAATCGCTTTTGTTCTTAATGACGTCTCATGATATTTTGTGATTGATTGACATGTGGACTTACAACTACCCTTCGATTGGGCGCCAGCCTCCCGTATCTCCCATCCCAACACGACCTTTTCCTTACAGTGAGGAAAGGACACGTGTATGTGAGTGGGACGTACGAGAAGCCGTTGCACAAATCGGCGGGCAGTATTACTTCCCTCCGGCCAACCGTTGTTCTGGGTTCGTAGAAGCCGGGTTTGTTATTATCGATACGCACTTCCCACCTTACTCNATCGGCGGGCAGTATTACTTCCCTCCGGCCAACCGTTGTTCTGGGTTCGTAGAAGCCGGGTTTGTTATTATCGATACGCACTTCCCACCTTACTCAGTATTGTTGCCATTTAACAAGTTAATCGTCATTCCGTGGACAGCAGTAGAACCCCACTGGCCGCGCACTCTGTGCACCGAATGTCAGCGTTTTGAGCGCTACGAGTCCAGGGGTTTCCACTACCGTGTGCGAAGTGAAGACGAGCATAAAGAAAGAGCCATACGACTGAGACCCTCCACGTCAGACTCGGAACTAACCAGCGAACGACGACGGGATTTGATACGAAAACGAGACACGCGAAGCGTGCCCAAGCCTTTCTGTTCTAAACGACGGGTTGTAGCCCGGTGGGAGGCACGACAATACTTTTTGGATTGAATTTGGGTCCTTCTCTCTCTTTCCCGCCTTGCCCGCGCGCGCACTCCGCGACGCGCGAAACGATCGACTTGCTTCATCGGACCAACATGGGGGATTTCAGTTCCGTCTGTATCCCCACACTCAATTTTCAAAAATCCTTGGCACACCCCATCTTGCTGTTTTTCTGGGCCTCTTTTCTGCACAGCTAACACTCCGAACGGAAGAGAGCACAGGGCGTGAGGTTGGTATCGGAGCCGACATGTGTCGGTTCTGATGATAGTAAGTCGAACTGGCGAGAGGTAGGAGAGACCCTCAACTAGCTTGTCGAGATCGCCCCGTAACCAGCTCTCAGTCTAGTGTGGCTGCACCAGCAATACCAATGGTGGACGGTACTAGGGTGATCGTTAGCATCCCTGCCCCTTTTCCCTTCTTCCCTAACCATACCCATCCTGAGGCTTGGCTAGAAGCTGTCGAAGCTCAAAACTACAGCGCAACCGATCTTTCCCGTGTTCTGACATTACTACTTCGCAACACATCACATGACTGGCTTAGAAAACATACGTGGGTAGATTGGGATACTTTCAAGCGAGCATTCTTGGCTCGATTCGATACGGTTAGTGAAGATGCCGCCTGGTATGTACTAAAAAATCGACCACAAGGACCAGGGGAATTATTGCCCGATTTCGTCGATCGATTTCAAACCACGTTGGATAAATCCAGGCGAGACAAGAATTCTGCTCGAGACTTGTTTATTGATCACCTTTGAAGTCCGACCTTGAAAGGGAAACTGCAAAAAAAGGTTCCGCCGAAAACAACCCCGTTATCGGCTATCATCACTAAAGCGTTGGAACTAGACTTGGCTGATACAAAAAAATATATCAGCCAAGGAGACGAGGATATTACAGATACCATACGGGATATAACGCCCAAAAGGCGATCATAGCTACAAGCAGTCGAACGGTTTTATCCCCGCCCCGATCATGACCTCCCCGACGGAATCGTCTCCGATATCCCGGCTGCTTCTCCTCCCTCTCCCCCGGTGAATCAATCAATCGGAGTCGTTAGAAGCGGAACCCCATCCGAACCCCCCTCGCCAGCCATAACCAATTTGCATCTTGCCCAGATGATCCATACGACCACTACTAAGCAGTCCGAATGGATGAGTAACCTGATCCAAATGCAGGCGGCTCATATGGAGCGGATGGAACAGATAATGAGCAGGCTCATTAAGCCTAACCCAGCTCCTGATCGGCCTGCCCCTGCATCGTTTCCACTCTTACCTGCCCCACCTGCTCCAGGGTTCGCGCCTCAGTTCCCTCATCTAGCTAATCCAGCAAGGAAGATTGAATGCTTTAACAGCAAGCAGCCCGGGCATTTCGCCCAGGACTGTCCGCAGCCGAAACGTAATCAGCCTCCCCCTACTGCGACCCCCGTTGCCCTTAATCAGGGACGAGTGGCTGCTCTGATGGATACGGATCAAGGAAGAGAACTTGTGGCATATGCCACAGAACAACCCTTCCCTTAGATGGCAACGGCATCGACATCAGGAGCTTCTTCCCCCGACGCTGCTGACGTGGTTGATCCTCTCGAGTATCTCCATCTCGCAGGCATGATCCGAGCGATCCGATCGGTCCCAGATGATCTCGAGTGGGTCGATCGCGAATCCAATCCAGGACCGCAGTTTCGGACAGGAGACATTGACGTCCTGAGAACACTCAAGCAGTTAGACATCCACGTTCCTATCCCCTAAGGGCATCTGCTCACCATATCTGAAGCGGCGAACGATAAACTTTTACAACACTGCCAGAAAAATCAAAAGCGTTTCACCTATCAACGCATACAATGGATGTTGAAGAAGAAGGAAGAAGGTGAGGAAGTGGTATCCCCTGAGCCGGACACTAGAGAACCTGAAGTCGCACGCATAGCCGCCATCTCTTTAGCAGATAAGGATCACTTCGTACGAGCTCGCCCGGTACTATGAAAAAGCGCACAATGTGACTGTGAAGTTTGGGGCAAGCCGTTTAATGCCCTTATCGACACAGGGTCTTCTGCAGTGGCCATATCGTTAGATACTGTCAAAAGGACGGGAGGACTTGGATCCATTCTTCCTCAATCTGGCAAAGACAACTATGTCTCTGCCGACGAGGAAGCAATGACCATTGTAGGCATTATCGAGAACGTGGCTGTAAAAGTTGGACGAGTACACGTCCTTGTTAACGCGCTCGTAATAGATGCACGTTCCTATTCTGTATTGTTGGGATTACCTTGGGTGATGACGGTGGGTGCACGTTTGCATTTCGATTCGAAGCAACTGGTGCTCACGCAAACTAGGGGAAAACCTCAAACTGTTCCTTTGCGGGTTTCCACCGAACGATAAAACGGGTTCCCAACCCAGCCCAAATAGGGATGATCCGATACATTGATCCCGATGAATGCTCTCCCTCGCGCCTCGAGGATGAAATCAGGGAACGAGAATGCGAAGAAAAGATGCTCAGTAACGAGGAATGGAAGCATCTGGTTGAACTTTTCGAACATGAAACCCCCGAAGAATTTCGAGTGTGCCCCGATACCGCTCGAAGCTTCCGCGTGGATTCTGAAGACAATGCATTCACGCCTCTAACAACCCAGGTCAGTCCTTCAGCCCTCCTCGGGGAACCCATATTACAAGTTTCCGATCTGGATGATGATTTGGAACCCCCTCGCACATTGTACGAGGGAGCTCTCTCCTTACGAACACGTTATTAGCAAACGGAACAGTATTTAGACGTTTCTGTTTTTCCACCTCGATCGTTACTAACGACAGGAGCCACCATTGCCTTGATTAAACAAGAAGCGGAAGCACCGGTGAATGATGTACCTAATCTGATGCAAGAAATGACGGATCTAATATGGCTAACTGTGGAACCGACCTCGGTTGGTTCAGAAACTGACGCTGAAACTAAAGAAACAGAAATTATCAGCTCTGCTGAGTCCCAGGGTAGCACCTGTCTTTTATGTGCGCACAAGTAGTTCCGTTTTCTCTAGTGTCAATGAGCGGCGGGAGCGGCCCGTTGATTGGATCGATATCCCCCTTAAGATGTCCAGAAAATCAACGATCACCCTCCCGAGTCACGTTCCCGCGGAACTACGAAAGTCATTAATCCGTGTGTTAAATGGTTACGCCGATGTATTGAGCGTGCACGATAATGACATCGACCTGACGAATGTGATCGAGCATGCTATTCTCACGGGAGACCACCCACCCATTAGCTGTGTTCCTTACCGATATTCGCCAGCTCAACGAGCGGCCGCTTTTCAGCGGATTAAGGAGTTTGAAGCTAATGGATGGATCGAACCCGCTTTAGGACCATGGTCTTTCCCTGTAGTAATCATACCTAAAAAGGCCGGAGGGATTCGCATTTGCATTGATTACCGAAAGTTGAATGATGTCACGATCAAAGATGTGTATCCCCTCCCCCGGATTGATGAGTTATTGGATGCGATTGGGGGTGCTCGATTTCTCAGCAAGTTTGATGTTCGTCATGGGTTCCATCATCTTCTTGTCTGGGAGGAAGATCGATCGAAAACAGCGTTTGTGCTTTTCGAAGGTACGTGGCAATGGATTCGATGTTTGATGGGTATCTGCAGCGCCTCTGCGACTTTCCAGCGGGCCATGAACATTGCTTTTCATAACTTTGTACGGAAGACTTGTTTGGCGCAGAGCATCATCAACTACTGCGTGATTGTGTACATGGATGACATCCTAGTGTATTTGAGCTCCTACAAGGGACACGTGCAGCACATCGAATGGGCACTACATGCGTTACGAGATGCAGGTTTCAAGGTGGCGCTTGAGAAGTGTCAGTTTTTCCTCACCACCATTTCTTTTCTGGGGCACGTGGTGACAGACAAGGGACTCCAACCGGAGCCGCAAAAGGTGGCAGCTGTCAGGGGCGCGAGAGTGCCTACCACTATCACGCAAGTTCGCGCCTTTCTGGGCCTAGCCTCGTATTACCGAAGATTTATCAAGGGCTTCGCGGCGATTGCGGGACCCGTCACGAATCTCCTGCGCAGGATCAGCCGTTGATCTGGACGCCGGAGTGCGATCAAGCGTTTTCCAAACTCAAGGCTGCTCTCATTTCGGCTCCGGTCCTTATAAGACCGGATCCCGAAAAACCTTTTGTTCTCATCACCGACTGGCAGCCAGAGGCGATCTTGACGATCCTTGCCCAGGTGGGACCGAGCGGACTCGAGAGTGTAGTGGAGTATGCGTCTAAGTCAATGCCCGCCTGCAAGCGCAATTACGCCGCTCCAACGGGTGAATGCTATGTGGCTCTCTGGGGAATTAGTCACTTCCGTGCTTACCTGTACGGGCGAAAATTCACCCTGGTGATTGATCATGAGCCCCTGTTGGCTCTGAAGAAGTCGAAGGATTACTCGGGCATGATCGGGCGATGGGCAACGGTGCTGCAAAGCATGAACTTTGACATTCGTCATCGAAAGCACGAGAGACACGGAAATGCGGACGGACTGACACGACTGCACCGGCCTGAAAAAGTTCCGAGGAATGAGGAGGTGATTCCGTGGAACGGACCCGAGCAAAAGATTGGACCTCGGTACGGCCAAGTGGAGATTTTGTCAAAGCAGTAAGTGACACGAGGATTAACTTGCCTGCTCTGCTCTCTCCACAATTCAGTCTCGTCTCTCCCCTTCTGTCATCATGACTACCCCGTCTGCCTCCACAACCCCTTCTTCTCCTACTAATTTTGCCCCTCTTACTTCCTCATCTTTCTTCAACACCCTCCCCGATAAATTCTGCTATTTTTGCACCTGTATTGCACGGGTTTACGGGGTCGACTGTCATCCCTTCGAGACCGGATTTGTCGATTGGGTAGAATGTGCCACGTGTGTCAACCGTGCGCACGGGGCCTGCGTTTGATATCGGACGAGTAGCAAGGAATAGAGGTGCCCCCTGTGTAGAACGAACAAGCTCCCCACGGAGGTTCGATTCAAGGCCGTTCGTACGGACGGTCCTGAATACGACGAAAAATACCGACGGGCGGAAGTCTGGACGGATAAAATTTTATTGGCAAAATTAGCGGGATTATCATTGGGTCATCTCACCAAACACGACAGACGTAGGGCGACCGAGAGATCTCGGGACTATCGATGGATCAACGGTCATTTGGAAAAGCGTAAGACTGACGGATCGGGTTCGTGGCTGACAGTTCCCCATCCCTTCCAGAGATACGATTGGATCTGATCTGCTCACGAGGAACATGCCGCTCATTTCGCGATACGTGTCACGGAGGCAACTGTAGACCAGAATCGATGGTTCTGGTCCCATATACAAGGTGATGTCAAATACATTGTCGCTAACAATCCGGTCTGTGCCGCTGATCGTGCCCCTATACGGGGACCAAACGCAATCGTACCAACGGAAGTAGGGCGTCCTTTTCAGCGAGTCAGTATGGACACGACAGACATTGACGTGCCACCTGGCCCAAACCGCTGTGAATATTCTATCCTGTTCGTTTTAATTGACAATTTTTCCAAATACATCGAAGTCTATCCCTGTAAGACCCGAAAGGCCGCAGAAATAGCCACGTACATCGAACGGTTCCTCTATACCCATCTGGATACGGAAGAAATTCTAATCGACAATGGCTCTGAATTTAAAGGTGAGGTAGAAAAACTACTTGCGGGAAGGGGCGTCACACTCCGACATACGACACCCCATGTGTCCCAGTCGAACGGGTTGGCCGAGAATGCCAACCGTATGATTAAAACCGCCCTTCGCAGGAACTTAGCGGCACACGACACGCGTCCGTGGCCCGAGATCGTATATCAGATCGTCGGCATCCACCGGGCCACCACTCACGATCTACGGGGTTCATCCCTTTTCAGCTTCGAACTAATAGCCTTCCCTGTGTCGATTACCGGGGTAACTCGGAAATCGCCGAAGCAGGGGGTAGAGACACGCGTGCAGCCCTCAAGGCCAAGGTCAAAAGGTACACCGATTTGATGGAACGGGCCGTCCCGAAGCTAGCCCGAAAAAGGCAAAGGATGACCGAGCTGGCCCAAGGTAGACAGGTCCGTAGCTACGAGGCCCGGAACCGAAATGTTGGGCTCCAGTACCAGTATAAACTGGGGGACCTAGTGCAGGTACGTAAATATGCACGCGACCGAAAACTTGCTCCCAAGTTCTCTGGCTGTTTTCGCGTTGTCGAACTTGGACCCAACGGCGCTAACACAGTGCGCATCGCGCCTGAGGCTAGCGCCAGCCATAGCTCCGTCCCCATCGTAAGGCATACCTCCTACCTCCGTCTCCTTCCTCATTCCGATTTTCCTCCCTCTTCTTCCTCGGAAAACAAGGAAAACGATGACGATCTAACCCTCTCTCCTCTTTCTCCCTCTTGTCCCTCGTCCTCCTCTCCGACCTCGCCATGAGTTTCATCACTAAGCGGGTTCTCGACGCACAGCTGCGGCAGCCATGTGGCCACATCTCATAGATCCGGCAAGTTTGTCACCCTCGGCTCAATACGGATCTACGCCGTTTGATGCGATTCTTCTGCGACGAAGGTATCTGTACCGCCGCCGCGTTTCGGATAGAAGGAAGCCCTCACGCGATAGTGTTCGCGGAGGTTACTGCAGTTCGTCGGCGAGAGGGTCCCAGAATGAGCCACGTCACCACAGTGGCGGGATTCACCGGCGACCTCAGCTCGGTCAATCCGCTGCGGCATACCGTGATCTTGGCCTCGCTGCGCGAGTGGACGGAGCAAGTGTCCAACGTGTGGCAGCACTTCCTCGCCCGGGAGGGGTATAACATCATCCCGATCTTTGCATCGGATCTTGACGGTATTCGCCGATTACCGCGCGAGCGGCCAGTTGTGATCCCGACCATCGTCCCCTTCCGTCGTCCCCAATGAACCACGCTGCTCGTCTCGCTCCTCTCTCTACCTTTGGTCTCCCATCTCTCTTCCCCACCTTCTGACAATCCGATCTTCACCCTTCTCTTTCCTTCTCGTTCGAGCCTCTTTCAGCCCCTCTTATCCATCCTGGACATTGGCGATTGTGGCGCGAAACTTTTGAGGAGCTGTCCTTTTGCTTGACCAGAGTACAAGTAAAGTGGACGGGCACTATCGAGCACCCCACGTGGATCGAGAAGCCGGAGCTGCTGATCATACAGGGTTGGAGGACTAACGTGGAAGGAGATCTTATTGGATTCCTCTTTGGATCAGTACGACCGGGTCGCCGTCAGTTGATTGCACAGGAGCTCATCGCACTGATCGTGCAATTGGCGGACGATCTCTCGCCCGACATCTACTTTCAAAGCGACAACAGTCCTGCTCCGTACATTTTCGGGCGATCCTTGGATCTGTACCTTCAGTGGACTTCGTGCTTGGAGGAACCTAGGGACGAGGATACCTTACCATCGCGGCAGGAGTATCTGAAGCCGTACGAGATCATCCCTTACGCCTTTTATCCCAGGGCAGAGGAAGTGGTGATCAACGACGACGACGAAGAAGAAGACAACGACGAGGAAACATCGGAGGAGGGAAGCTATAGTGAACATAGCGAGGGCGAGCTGAGTGAGGAGGAAAAGGAAGAAGAAGGAACCGGATCCGAGTGGGAAGCCCCGCCGGAGGAAGCGACGCGTACGGGAACAGAGGCGGAAGATCCGGAAGCGGCGCGAAGAGATTGCCTCCTGGAAGCGCCAGCTGGAGTTCGCTAGCAAGGCTAGCCTGCGCATCGATAGCGGTCCGGCCAGGGATCCAGAGCCGCCAAGGCCCGAAGATGGCGACCCTGCAGCCGCCACCTCAAGTACCGCGCGACGGAGACAGCGCCGATCCCCCTCCTCCTCCAGCCCCACCCGTCCCCCAGTTCGCCCACGTACCAATGCGGGCGATAGGCCTTCGACCTCGGACGCTGCCCCGCCGACCCCTTGATTTTCTCACCCTCGAACAGATCCGTATCCCCGTCACCTTCCCTTCCCATCCTTTCCATCCCCATCTCTTCTGCGACTTTTATTCTACCCGTCTACTCGCCACCATCCATCCTCACGCCTCCCTTCAGTCCGCTGCTCCCACATTCTGCTGGCATCTCCTGCTGTTCAGCGCTGCATGGGAGCGTTTCAACATCGTAGAAGTCTACTGCGTTGCCACGGGGACAATCCCCGCCTGTCGCCACTTCGAGATCTTTCGAGCGGCGCTTTTTCGCACCCTCTCCTCCTTCTATCGCGATTACCTTGCTTCCCTCCCCCGCAGTGGCGATCATTTCCCCCGCTTCCACCAGATCATCCGATATGAGGAGCTCCCGGTGACGATGGAAGGAATGAATCGCTTCCTACCCCCACTCCCCACCCGTCATCCCCGCGAGATCCCCGGCATGTACCGCCTCTACTGGCCTATTCCAGCTAGGCGGTAGATCCCATTCACTTGAACCCCCCCCCCCTTTTTTTTCTCTCCTCCCTTCATCGACACGAATCGGTAAGCTTTGCGAAGATCACGCCATCAACGATGACGTCAACCTGCGCGTTGATTCGACAGACGACAACGAGCAAGGGTGCAGAGCACACGGAGATCAGGGGGACCATGATGGCGTCACCTGGACGATCTCGACGAGGTAGAGGGTTGCATATGACAGGGCTACGAAGATCTTGCCACGGATGTTGTCGCCATCTCATCCGCGGCCCGGTTATCGTTCTTTGTACTTCTTTCTGCTCTGTTGATACGTTTGGTTCCTCATGCATCACTCTGTTCTCCCCTCTTCTTTTTCGCCATGACATGCAATCAGGAGATCGCATAATTTTGGAACCCCCTGCGCATCACATATGTGACGAACCACTTCACGACCGCGTGCCATCCTCCGTACCCTTTCTTTTGCTTGTATCATACCAACCCCAGGAAAACCCCGTTTTGATTTCTTGATTTCGGGTGCCGCATTTTCCTTTTTGAGAGTTTTTTCGATTCCTGAGTTCTGTTTTTCTTTTTGCAAAGTCGGGAAATACATGGGAATTTACGTGCGCCTTAGCGAGCGCACTAGGAATTGGGCTCGGTAGTTGGGAATTTCGGGAGAGGCAGGACCTTCGACGTGTCCTTTTTAGGTGTGTGAATGTTCTTGGGCGCGTAAGGGAAAACTCTCAGAATTTTGAATGAATACGAATAGGCGTAGGATTTTTTTTTCCCGCATCGCTTTTTTGCGCGCGGATATGGTGATTTCAATTTTGAATTAGGATAGAAGCAAGCTGTAACTGTTTCGGTGCCTTTTTCCTTTTTTTGTTGACTGCGCCGTGCA